TAGTCCCTCGATGACGCTATCTGAGTTGCCTAAACAAAATGATCAAGTCCCTCAAGAAAATTGCCAAAAATACTTGACACAATTGTTATCACGGTCTATACGATGACTCGCGTCTGTCCCGTTTAACATTCTAACACAAGGTTGTTCACCAAATACAATGGTGAAAAAACACTGTTAAAAGGGTTAAAAACATAAGAAAGATCTTTGAGTAAAATAGGGTAGACAACTCTTAGTTACTTGATCAAAGCTTGCAAAAAACATCCTTGCTATCTTCAAAACACACTTCACCACACAATTTCAAAACCCTACCTTCAAACATTGAAAACTTTTCAAAAGACAAAAACACCTTTGTATACATTCAAACAAGAATCATTACAAAGGTTGCCACAACGATGGCCTCTTTTTAAAACATCTTTCAAAAATCACACACAAAGCACCATTTCAAACAATTGAAAAGCAAAGCAAGTGATCTAAACAAGTAACTAAGAGCCCATGGTTACCATGGATAGAAAGGGTGCTAATACCTTCCCTTTCTATAATCTACTCCCCGAACCCAAGAAAACATCTCAAAGGTCTTTCCTGTGCTTTTTGAACTTTCCTTAGGATAAAATAAAAAGTCGGTGGCGACTCTTACTAAATCGAAACATTTGCGAACACAAACACAAAATCCCAAGTTATTTCTCCCACCGTATCACATATACGTTTATGTTTTTGTTTCTAATACCAGATGTATAGTCACCCCAGTGGTAGAGTGTGAACGCTTAAGGCATTAGTGTTAAGGGATCTAAGTTCTAGCCACAGAAACAATCTTTTATGTTTATTTTCTGACTTTTTTACCCCATTATTTGTTAAAACAATAACCCTGGACCAGAACTTCTAGATAAAACCCCTCCAGTTTGTTTGCCAAAATAGTGACCCTGGACCAGAACTTCTAAATATCCCCGTACAACAGCATTGACACATCACTTGTCCATTAACAGAACTTCTAGGTTTCCAGTTACATTAGAACCTCTAAGCTCTCTCAAACAACCAGAACTTCTGACCTGCCAATGACATTAGAACTTCTGGGCTCTTTCAACAATCAGAACTACTAGGCTTTCCTTTGCTCCCAGCAACCTCAGAACATTGGTGAGTTTGGATCCAGAACTTCTGGCTTTCCCCATTTCCGCTAACGTTTGCTTTCTGATTTGCAGGACGCCAGAATCAGAACTTCTACCCTTTGTCATATTTCTATTCTCTAAGCCATGCACTGACTCTGACTTTTATCTTCTAATTTACTTTTATTTTCATTAATCAAAAACACCAAAAATACTTTATATTCATATGCTTTGTTTTCTTTCTTTAAAAACAAAAAGAATAAAAATATTTTCTTAAGAAATTTTATTTCTTCCCTTAACAAAAACAAAACAAGTCTATTTTACATTTCTTGTACATTATTTCAATATGGTTGTAATAGATGATTAGGATTTTAATTTCTTGCAATCTCCATTTGTAAATTTATGCACCCCATCCACAAGTGATTGTAATAGCGTAGAATATTTACTTTTCGCAATTTATCGCTTTCATATAAATGCTAGTAATTAGGGCTTGTATGGGAAGATAAAAAACAACAAGTAGAAAACCCTTAATCAAAGACTAAATATATGCAAATCAAACACACTATTCACACATGCACCCCTAGGGTTAACCCCACTTGTTGCCTAAAAATGGTCATGTTATGCATGTGAGACGTCTTAGCAAAACAATCAAAATACAAGATCATAGTCCCTCGATGACGCTTCGAATGTTGCCTTAAAAATGATCTTAGTCCCTCAAGAGAAATGCTAAGATATCTCACAACATTGCTATCATGACTATACGATGACCCACGCCCGTCCCTTCACATCCAAAGATAAAGCTTCTTATCAATCAATGGCAAGATAGTAATATCTAAGGGAGGAGGAGAAGAACAAAGACTTTTGAGTAGGTAGAAACTCGGTACATTGCCTCTAAGCCGCAATGTATTCTTAAAACTCGGTGCATTGCCTCTAAGCCGTAATATATTCTCAAAACTCGGTACATTGCCTCTAAGCCACAATGTATTTGCAAAACTTAATACATTTCCTCTAAGCCGCAATGTATTCTCAAAACTCGGTACATTGCCTCTAAGCCACAATGTATTCTCAAAACTCAGTACATTGCCTCTAAGCCACAATGTATTTGTAAAACTCAGTACACTGCCTCTAAGCTGCAATGTATTCTCAAAACTTGGTGCATTGCCTCTAAGCCGCAATGTATTCTCAAAACTCGGTACATTGCCTCTAAGTAGTAATGTATTCTCAAAACTCACTACATTTCCTCTAAGTCGTAATGTATTCGTAAAACTCAGTACATTGCCTCTAAGCCGCAATGTATTCGCAAAACTCGGTACATTGCCTCTAAGCCTCAATGTACTCTCCTAGCTCGGTACATTGCCTCTAAGCCTCAATGTACTCTCCTAGCTCGGCACATTTCCTCCAAGCCTCAATGTACTCTCCAGACTCAGTACATTGTCTCTTAGCCTTAATGTATTCTCCAAACTCGGTACATTGCCTCTAAGCCTCAATGTATTCTCCTACTCGGTACATTGCCTCTAAGCCTCAATGTATTCTCCTAGCTCGGTATATTTCCTCTAAGCCTCAATGTATTATCCAAACTCGGTACATTGCCTTTAAGCCTCAATGTATTCTCCTAGCTCGGTACATTGACTCTAAGTCTTAATGTACTCTCCTAGCTCAGTATATTGCCTCTAAGCCTCAATGTACTCTCCTAGCCTGGTACATTGCCTCTAAACCTCAATGTATTCGCAAAACTCGGTACATTGCCTCTAAGCCTCAATGTATTCTCCAAACTCGGTACATTTCCTCTAAGCCTCAATGTACTCTCCAAACTAGGTACATTGCCTCTAAGCCTCAATGTATTCTCAAAACTCGATACATTGCCTCTAAACCTCAATGTACTCTCCTAATCTAACCCACTGCCTAAGACATCATGCAGTAGTGTAATTCCTTGTTCGGTGATATATACCACTGCCTAAGACTTCATGCAGCAATGTGTTTCTTTATTCCGTAACACAGACTATCGCCTCAGACTTTATGCAGCGACGCTCGAAAACTAAAATCTAGCCTATCGCCTAAGAATTCATGCAGCGATTTGCAAACCTAACCCATTGCCTAAGACTTCATGCAACAATGTGTTTCCTTATTCTGCAACACAGACCATCGCCTCAGAATTCATGCAGCGAGGCTCGAAAATATAAACTCTAGCTTATCGCCTAAGACGTCATGCAGCGATTCACGAACATCACCCATGGCCTTAGTCTCCAAGCAACCATGCATTATCAATTGCTGTTTTATTCATCCTCTAAAGGGATGAATAATCAAATTCAAACCAAGACATACAACATTATTCTCTCAAGCTCAAAACCATATGTCTCGTTGTCACATCCTGGTTAAGTGATACATCATCATATTTGCCCATTCTCTTCAAAACTCTTAAGAGTATGCTATATCAGCGTAACCTCATCTGGACAACTCTTGAGAGTATGATATATCATTGTAACCTCATCTAACCAACTCTTGGGGGTATGATATATCAGTGTAATTCTATCTAGCCAACCCTTGGGGGTATGCCATATCAGCGTAATCCTATCTAGCCAACCTTTGGTCAAATTTTAGGGTCTTCCATTATTTAATAAATCTCTGATTCGAATGAACAAAGACCTATGCATTCTTGCACCATTCAATCGAAGAGTTATTAAATAGGGGCAGTTGTCATACCTCAAATTTTCCCGCCTTAGTGCTACCGTCAAACTTATTTTCGAATTTGGGTGTTACAGATATAAAATTCCTTTGATTTAATTATATTAACATTCTGAGTTTTTTTAATAAAAATTTTCTTTTAAGTCTGTTTGAAAATATAATAATTATTTGTATTTTTGTAAAAGTAAAAAATAATTGTTCGCTGTCATATACTTTCAATTGACTTTTTACTTTCGAATAAGTAATATAGCACCCTTGGTAAGGGAGAAAGACTTACAAGCAGAAGGTCACAGGTTCAAATCTCATGTCCTAATTTTTCATCAAGAATTCATCAAGAAATTCACAAACTTGCAATTACACACACGTTTTCTTTCTTTCTACGATTTTTGCCAATAATTTTATATGAGGCTCTCCACCCTTATTATTATTATTTTTTTAATTTTATATATTTTTTCTTTAATCATTTAAATGGTTATTAGATGGTTGTTGTGCTTTAAATTCTATGAACATTTTTTAAACATACTTTTGAAAACCCTTACTTTTCACATAGAAGCCAATTTTGATTCACAACACAGCCGCACTACATTCATGGTACATATTTGACACTTTGCCATTTATCTTCTTTTCTATTCCTTCCAATATTGATTGTTGTATATATTATCAAACCATCAAGAAATTTCTATCTAACTTTTTTTTTTTTGCTTTAATCAAAGTTTCATATAACAAGTTTGTATTTTTGTTTTTAAAACATATCACTGTATCATTTTCCAGATACTACTAATATGAGTTAGATTTTCTAATTCTTTTAGTACACATATAGCTTTCATCGATTTTTACCTGCAAGCCAAAAACTTAACAAAGTCTTGTAAATCTTAACTACAATATAATCATCATTGACACACAAACCTTCAAACTTCACATTTTATTAGCAACACAAATGATTCACTCACAAAACTAATTTCAAGAAAAGTAGCAAAACAAGGAACACAAAAATTACTTAATTCTTATGCTTTTCCTTCATCTAAATATCACCACCGTTGTTACTAACATTAACCTTCAGTTTCTTCTGACAGTTTATGTTGCAGGAACCTTGAACTAGAACAACACATAACAAATGTGAAAAAACAAACAAAGCCAAAAAGCAGAAATCACGTGGCCTGTGCAGTTTTTCTTCTTTTTTCTTATTATTGTTATTAGCATATAGGTTTTCAATCAAAACAAATGCATGAGTACGTGATCCAAAAAGAGAAGCTACTACATTTTTCCCGTCAACAATCATCGTCGCTGAAATACCCACCAACACCGCAACAGCCTGACGAAGCAACCTTCACGCAACCCGTGCCGACGACTCTCGTGGTCAACCGTCCGCTACCGCATCCGAAAGCTCCATCTCCATGTCACACTCGCAGCACACTGCTCCTCCGTGACCCCCACACAGCCCTCCTCTCAGATCCAGCCGGGCCAGCCCTCCGTCCAGATCGTCGTCATTACCTGGCAACACCACTGATCCCGCCATTGTTTGCCACGCGCCTCCCAAAACCAAAACCGACCGCGATTCCGCATAGCAAACAATACCAGAAGTTGCTCCTCCTTCGGATTCATCATCTTCATTGAGAGGTCCAGTTTTTGTTGACTGATTTTGTGTATCTGTTTTTCCTTTTTTTGTTGGTTGCATAGGTTATAGAGGTACTAAGCAATTTAGTGTGCAGTAAAAGAAGGAAATAACAAGAAGGAAATGAAGATGATATGAGAAGATTAGATTTCTTTCTCCTAGTAATATACTAAGGTTTTTATTCTATCATTTTTTGTATTTTCTTTACTCCGCCACATTTCATTCTATGATAAGTCTTTGTTTGTTGAAAAGTCAACTAAATCTCTTTCCTCTTAAATTTTCGGTCGACAACAGTAGGGAGTCACCACCCATTGTGTATATTCTCTGTCCCATTTTATTTATCCTCTTTTCAATAATAACAATTATGGTTAAATTTAGTTTTAACTATATTTGGGCTCTTGGGCCATCATTTCTATCTTTTTGCTAATTCACACTCCATTTCCAGTTCTACATTTGTAGCCCATTTATTCTAGTTTTTTAAATTAGGTTAGGTAGTTTTTTATTTAGATTAATTAATTTTCTTAATACTATTTTTTTATATGAATAATCAATTTAGTAATATAGATTAAATTAATCCGAACAACCTTTTTAGATTAAATCATTAAGTTTGTCACACTTGTACATAATCATATTTTTTCAAATCAAATTGATTAGACGTTTTCGCAAATAATGGAATGTCTATCTTCGAATAATTCAACCGATCGACACATTGTCTCACAGTTTATCATTCAAAATCAAAGATATACAAACCCGCGTAATTCTAAATATTTTATCCACAAGCGACACGTGGCGAATATCTGGCCACGTGGTGAGGAAGACTATATCAGACTTCCCCTGCATCCTTCATAGCGACCAACACGCGGTCAATATATGGCTCCGTGGTGAGAACACGCGAGGAGGAGACTATATCAGACTCCCCCGCTCCACGTCAAATACCAAAACAGCTAACCAATTACAAACTATTTTTTCAACTAACATAATCAAAATCCAAGGTCATTTTTAAAAAAAAAGAAGATTAAATAGCATCTGTGATCGGTGGATCTGAAACTGACTGTTTAACGCTGGTTCGCGAAATGTCGCGGAAGCAAGAGTCGCCACCGTCTTTTATTTTCTCCAAATGGAAAGGACAAAAGCACAGAAAAATTCCTTATAGAGATTGCTCTCGGTTCGGGAGGTAGATTTATAGAAAGGGAAGGTGTTAGCACCCTTTCTATCCATGGTTATCCATGGGCTCTTAGATACTTGCTCATTGTGTTTTCAAAATTGTTTGTTTACTTTTCAACTGTGGGTTTAAAAAAGTTTCTTTAAAAATTCCAGTTCGACTCTTGTATCGGTCCTCAAGAGTGTTTGAAAAGTTGCTTTCGAAAGCTTTTTGAAAAGGTGTCGGTGTGAAAAGAAGTTTTTGATTTGTTTTTGAAATTAGAGCAAGTATCTACGAGAATCTACCTACCCTAAGGAATTCGTCTGTGTAAATGTACTTAAAGTAGTGCCATCCTACCATTGAGAGGTAGGTAGCACCACCGTTGGAGGTGTTCGGGTCAATTCGAGGGTTCGGGACATGGTGATCACCGGAGCAATAGGAAGACACCTTAGAAGCTACCCTCATGCCATGTTCATGGACATGAGGACTTACTAAAACATCCTCTACTCGACGACCACCTTTCGAGGGGCAAGGCAACAATGAGGCGTACCCTAGGGGTGGTGTGTGATTTGTGTGTCATGTTCATTCATGTTTGTCTTTGTTCATGTATTGGTGATCTACGCGTTGCTTTTATTTTGGCATTCATTCTTTCATGCGAATTATTAACAGTTAAAAGATGCGGAATTAAAAAGTCCTACGCTATTACAAAGGCGCGGGTCTACATCGCCAAATTAATCCAAGACCCGATTTGAAATAAAATAAAATGCGGAAAATTAAATGTCCTAATTAATCTATTACAAGGCTTTGGGATAAATACATTATATTCGCAAAAAGAAATAAAAGTAAAATGCGAAAAGAAGTAAAGTCGGGAATACGAGGGCGTTGGACCCTTTTAAGGAAATTAAATTACAATTAATAAATTAATTAAGTTAAATGAGAAAAGGAAATTATTTTTTGAGTTTTTGTATTTATGGAATTTAATGCGAAAATTAAATGAAATTAAAACCCTAATTTCTAAGCTATTTTTAATTTGTTAAAAAAATATTTAAATTTGACCTAGTTTTAATTAATTATTTACATGGCAAATTTATTTACAAAATAAATAATTAATTATTAATAATGGTAAAAGAAAAGAAAAAAGGATAAAAGTATTTAAAACCCTAATTCTACATTTTTTAGTTTATTAAAAAAAAACATTAAAATTAAACCTAGAATTAGAACTAAATTAATTATTGAATTTACTTACAAAAAAAAGTTGGTGAATTAAATTAAAATAAAACATATTTTTATTTTTTATGATTTTCTGATTTTTTGATATTTTTGGTATTTTTATAAAATTTATTTTGATGAATTAAAAGAAAATAATTAAACTAAAAACAAATAATATAAAAAAATATAAAAAGGAAAAGTGAAAGAAATACAAACACTAGGGGGGGTTCTGCCCCAATCTGGAGGTTATGTTGTGAGCAATTAGGCCCGAGAAGCTTGGCCCTTTCTGACTTTTCAATGATCATGTGCGTATGCGTTGACTGAGGCATTCCCTAGACTTTGGATCCTGGCCACTGGATGGACGATCATGGTCGTTGGATTGATCTTTATGTATAGATGGCAAGCACAGATATGGAGGCCTATGATACTCCCTTGAGAACATGCTGCATGGAATTATGTTAGCAAGAAAAATATTGAAATAACGTGGGGGACCTGGGGATCGAACCCAGGTCCCAATGCTTACCAAGCTATATGCCTGCCAACTGAGCCATTAGCGCGTTTGGAATATAATATGGAAAATAAAGAATATAATGTAAAACAATGATTAGTGGTGTCCTTCGCGCGAAAATTCCAACGCGCCTGTGAGCCATGGACACGTCCTCCATCTTCTTCATGTTGCCTGCAAAATAAAAAGAGATAGCGGGGGTTTTAAACCCCCACTAAATGGTAAACGTGAAAATAGCGAATAGGCCCTGGTTTATCATAAATTGATCGCGAGGTATGGAATTGATTAGTCATGAGCTTCTGGTTTCAATGGTGTGGGTCTTGTGTCTCAATTTTTCCTGAAGAAGAAAGCCCTAATTTTACATCTTTGAAACCCTAACGAGCTCCAATGGCAACTTTGCATATAGGCGACGAAAACTCAATTAAACAATATCAATAGACTCAGAAGGTCCATGTTAGTATAAAACAACAATCAAAATGTATGGAAAATGCCCAGAAATTCAAATACGATTATGCATAAAGTATGAGGAATTTTGACTTCTATATACCAACTCTTGATGCGTAGGGGCTGGGAAAGGATTCAGTTAGGTTCCTTGAGACCTTGGCAAGCTTTTTGGATGGATTATAGGCTTTGAAACCAACTCTAAGTGCGTTTTCAGTTTTCAATTTTTTCACAAAAATGCCAAGTTTGTATTCAGGTTTGGGCGCAGCTTCAAAGGTTCTTTGCATTAGGTTTAGCATCCTGTATATGTATGGGACGAATTAGGGTAAGAATTTGAGTCCATAACCCTTTGCATTGATGAATCCAATATTTGATTTCCATGGAATCTTTTTCAATATTTTCTTCATGAAGAACATGCCAATTTGCACCAAATCTTTCCTTTTTTGATGTGCACGAGATCCTTAGGTTTTATTAGACCTATTAGCTGCATAAAAAGATTTGGAATACATGTTTTTGTATTTTTTTCATATTTTATTTAATTAAATGAATTAATGGTGATTAAAAATTCAAATAAATAATAAAAAATGATGAAATAACTCCCTTTTGGACCAAATGGTCGTGCATAGCCTTTGGATAATGATTCTTGGAAGAAAATGTGGCCCATTAGCAATTTTGAGGCATTTGAAGTAAAGTTGACTTTTCAAAATTCCCAAAAATTTCCCAACTTCCACAAGGCATATCTTACTCAATTTTTAAGCTTTAATCATGTTCTTGGACATTTTGGAAAGTTCTTGAAGTCCTCTAAGCAATTCCGTTGGTCCCATGTCATTTTGATTTACCAATCTCAAGTTATGGTCTTTGACTTAAAGTCCCTTTTTGTTGACTTTTGAAAATGACCTATAATGTTGAGATTGATAACTTTTTGTGAGAGAATTTCTTAGACTTGAAGTGTGAAGAGTAGTTGTAGGAAATGTCTTTCTCTTCAAAATGAGCTTTGGATGGAATTTTTCTGATAAACCATGTGGAAGTTATGCTTTGGTCAAGTTACAGTTGACTTTTTCAACTGTCCAAATATGGAAACTTTTGCATCTTGAGACTTTTTGAACCATGCCTTGAAAATCATGATCAAGAATTGATCAAATGATGTTTGTGGCTTCAAAATAAGATGTTGACCAAAAATTTGAACTTTTGACTGTCAAATGACCATTTTACCCCTGCAGTTGACTGTAGGGCAATTAGGTTTTTTGACTGTGCAATTTTGTGCTGTGAGTCTTGAAACTTGACATGAGGATGCTTGACAATGTTTGTAGGCATGTGGGACTTGTTTGGACCCTTGGAAACTTCAATTTCTTTGTCAGAACCAAAACCCTAGTTTTTGACTGTTAGGAGGCCCTTGAACTATGCAACCCTTGAGAGATTTTGAAGCATGCTCTTTGCAAATTTTGAAGAATATGGGAGGGCAAATTTTGGGGTACAACAGCATCGTTTTCAAATTAACTTCAAACTGCGTCTACAATCACTCAATTTACAACTCAGACAAAGTTCAAGGATAATTGAAAACAATTCTACGTGATTCTATAAAAAAACAACCTATACGAACTATGAATTGGGACTCTGATTCCTCATAAGAGGATACGTAGGCATATGATTAAAATCGTAGCGAGTCCTCTTAATTAAAACTTAAAACCCTGTTTACCCCAAACCTA